GGAAAATCTTAATTCTAAGGAGTTTATGGCTGTATCCATAATGAGAAAAAATACTTCAATTTTATATTTTTGACGAGGCTCAATAACTGGTTCATCATCACACAGATAAGTAAATTGCTTTTTTTTGATCGTGCACGAGGTCTAGCCAGATTTTTAAAGTCTAACACCTCGCAATCAATTTCAGAAGCTAAGGCTTTGGCGTCTTCAAGAACTTTAGTAAAATACTCATCTTAACGTGAGTTTTCATAGAAATCTTTTGTATTTCTAAGTAATTTAATGACGGAAACCAAGTCAAAATCTTTGCTTTGCATTAGTTTACTAACAGGGTTTATGCGATTCAACGTTTCGTACCAAATTATAACAGAACATAAAAATTGAAACTGTTTAATTTGGTTCAACAAACCCGACGCTTCGTCTCGTGTGGAGGTATCCATATCTGTGTTTTGGTAAACACTAAACAATGCATGCAGATGCGAATTTCCCATCTCGTGTCACTAAGTGGATTTAGAGTAATACCTTTTACATTCTTCAAAAGAATTGACAACCTTAATATTGAAGTGGAAAAAAAGACATATTTATTGCACAGTATTAAAAAAATTGTGGCTTCCAGTGAGGACTTTGCCATGTCGTTTACCACTAAGTTTAAGGAATGACTACTTCAAGGTAAGTTAAATGCCCGTAGATTGATGTTTTTAATCTTGGCTTGGACACCAATTTGAATACCTTTCATATTAGATCCATTATCGATCCCTTGCCCTCTTATGTTTTCTAAAGACAATCCAAGTGCTGATAATTATTCCACGATAATTTCTGTTAGTACCAGACCTGTAGATTTCTCTATTGGTATAAATCCTAAAAATCTTTCATTTATTACAATCTCTAACGTTCTTGAATGGTCTTGGGATTGAATAATAGAAATATACCTAATTATTATGGTCATCTGCTCAGTTTTGCTAGCGTCTGGAGTACAATCCAAAATAATAGAATAATATTTCGATGTAATGATAGCTTCCATAATATGTTTTTATGACGTCTGAAATTGTATTAATGAACTCATTTTGAATTATTTTTACTTAAGCAGGTTGCTTGTTTCTCCTCTTTTTTCAAAACTCTGCGTATCTACGTGTTCCTGCATAACGGGATCAAATTCGGCTATCGGGAAGATAAGTCAAATGCCGCCCCTCATTTTTTTCCACTCTGGGCAAATGCCCGGCTCCCCCCCCCCCTCAAATCTGGCCCTGACGGCAAGCAAAGCAATGATTTGTGAATTCTTATTATTGTGGGGTAAATGAACCAGATTAGATTATAAACTGTATCAGTGTGGCCAGATATTAGAGATGAAGCGTATATATTAGAACAGATCCAGGCACTATAGTAAAATTATTTTCTCCGCGCAGTTGGGGTTATACATCGTACCTCGGCCTCAGCCCGGCTAGGGCGGTGAGCATGTTGCGTGGGCGTAACGCCATTATCGATAACAGGAAATGATTTTTATATTTATTTAATAAATATTTATGAATTATAATATTTACGTAATAATTTAAATGATTTTACTTTTATATTTATTTTTAGTAGAACTTGTTACATTCCAAACATTTGTAATTATAGTTTTTTTAATACATAGATACCTAATTAATAATTTATTTTAAATCATTATTATTCTTATTTTAATAAAAACGTCGTTTTATCTATTTTTTTTTTCATTTTTATCACTAACCCACATAATGACAACTAGGACACTAAGGACACTATCGATAACGTTTATCGACAACAATAATGCGCATCACTATGCTCACCCCTAAGGCCCGTGAGTGGGAAAGGGAGCGAAATACTCCGATGTTTTTATGACCCAAGTTGCATCGACAAAATAATTCTAGTATAGGTATTAAACGAGACTAGGTTGCACCTGTTCCAACATTTAAAAGACTTGATCTACCTAGTCTCAGTGTGCCTGTGCCTACGCGATACGCGTCTCACGGCACTGGCGCGGTGGCCCACTCCAATCGGACAAGAACCGGTACGGTGAAGCGAGATAGTATTTTGTTGCCGTAGTTACTAATCTGCTTTGCCGCTCACTCGTGTTTGCCTAAATCATTCATGTGTCAGTCATTTGAATTTGAACTATATTTCAATATATATAAAAGTAATGCGACGCGCACTCGTGTTTTGTAAGATTCTGTTCTTTTTTAACTACACTATTCCGCATTCTTTCTATCTTTGTCTGTCAATACTAGTCGGGACTAGTCCCGTAGACTTTAAACAAATACTAGGTAGATTTCATACACTAGGTACTTGTAAATACTCGATGCGAATGGAGATTGGAGACCATATGGCGCAGTCGAGTGTCTAGTACGGACTCATGCAAATGTGATCTTGGCACCGTATCCTGGTACCTACTCGACTTATATAGCAATAGGTTTTAGTAACGAAGTTTTGTTATGTGGTTAAAGAACATTCGATTTATTATTATTTTTTATTTTTTTTTTTATAGGATAAGCGTGACAAACGAGTACACAGTCCACCTGATGGTAAGTGGTTGCTGCGGCCCATAGACATCTACATCTACAAAATGTAGATGCGTTGTCACCCGTGAGGACTAAGATGGAATGCCTCATTTCCAGTAAAAAGGGCCTCCAGCCACCTGCACTCACCAAGCGAAAAGCAGAGGTAAACCTCTACTTCACGTTGGTTTTCTATGAGGTCGTGGTGCCACCCCGGTTCGAGCCGGCCCATCCGTGCGACAGCAAAAGCTGCCGCGTGGCTCTACCACTGTTGAAATTATTTAGACATTAAAGTGCTTATTGTTAAAAATAGATGGCTTCCATAGGAAGCAATGTCGCTTGGGATCATTTTGCGTGCGTGTATATAAAAATAATGATTGTAGACAGGTAATTAAAAAAACTAAACAAAAATAATTAAAATATAAACGAAAAAAAATTGGCACAAATCGGATTACTCTGAAAAAAAAAAATTAATTGAAACCTTATACGCCAACAATATAGAATGTAAATAAATCTTGACGTTTAAATAAAACCAATTTTACGGATTTTATCGCGTATATTAACTTATTTTACTTTCCCGACGTTTCAAGCACTTTACAGCACCCATGGTCACGGGGGGGACTGAGGTGTATGACGTCCCAATGTCATAGTTAACCACGGCTACCTCCAGATTAAAAATAATTAATTTTTGTTCCGATCTACGCAGTATGAACTTACAGTATCATGAAGTCTTGCAGTTGTATGCTTGGGTTGGGATTTATTAATCTCACTGACAAAATGGTAGGAATCCTTTGTGTGTGCTCTTGTATGTCCCTTGAGCGGTGAGAGTATATTCGCTAAGTGTTGAGCCAATCTGTAAGTTGGTGAATCGATTTGGCTCACTATAGGACGTAGTGGAGCATTGGGCTTGTGTATTTTTGGTAACCCATACAACTTCGGTGGTTTAGCACACGTGTGATCCATAAAAACCCGCGTTAAAGAACACATAGCTGATGTGAAGAATAGACGCTCCGGGAAGTCTGCAGTCTGTGAACACGTACAGGATCGCCCCCGTCACTACATTAGATTTGATAGACCACAAATCCTCGCTAAAGAACACCGATTCCTTCCAAGGATGATTCGCGAGGCTATTGAAATCAAAAAACATCCTAATTTCAATAGAGAAGATGGCTGGGTGCTACTATCTGCTTGGGATCCCATAATTAATAAAATTAAATCCCAACCCAAGCATACAACTGCAAGACTTCATGATACTGTAAGTTCATACTGCGTAGATCGGAACAAAAATTAATTATTTTTAATCTGGAGGTAGCCGTGGTTAACTATGACATTGGGACGTCATACACCTCAGTCCCCCCCGTGACCATGGGTGCTGTAAAGTGCTTGAAACGTCGGGAAAGTAAAATAAGTTAATATACGCGATAAAATCCGTAAAATTGGTTTTATTTAAATGTGTAGTGTTCGCGTAAATATAAGAAATCATTAAATCTTGACGTTGACAGTCTTAAGCCTATGTAAACTATGAATGGATGATTACTATTCATTACCTTCACGTATCGGCTGTACGTAAAGACTAAGCATACTTTAAAGTTTAAGCTATTCTAACAATACCAAACTTCAAGCCCGCTTTTCACATATTATATATAATATAATATAATATATATTACATCTCGAGATATAAATTAATATCGCTCACCATACATTTCATATGGAACCGTTTACACTGAGCTATAATATATATTACATCTCAAGCTATAAATTTTTTTTCGATCGACCGAGCGATATTTTCATATTATATTTCGCCCCTCGTACACCGTTCCGCGGCCCCGCAGATCGGTGTACGGGGTAAAGGGGGGTAATCCAATGACCAATGACGAACGCACACTGGTTAAAAGATATATCTCACAGTGTGAAAGCCATTCGCGGGATATAATTTATATTTCGGGATATATTATATCCCATAGTGAAAAGCCAGCCTTATGCGTAATTCATGGACTAGGTGGAACAGGTATTTGGATAGAGTATTTGTAAATGCACCTAGTACAAAATTTACCTAGTACGACTCATCTCTGCTAAATATATACATATTTATATATTAACATTGGTACCAAAACTTCGAGAATTATACTGAATAACTTTCCGAGAGGAAAAACTATGATAAAAAACTCCATCGAGCTGTGGGTAGTTTCGCTTAACTTAACCTTTTTAAATTTTAATCGTTGGGCTTGGGCTCTTATGATGTGTCAAATGTCAATTGACTTACAGATGAAACCAAAGAGTATAGTAGCTGTTCTATACAGGAACCACAGAGTACATTATAACAGGAACAGATAACTTTATTTATACTAGCCCGAGATGTGTGGGGAACTGAAATCACTAAAGTGGAAACACTGTTCGTAAACAATTTTTGTTTGAATACATGTGCACATCCTCCTTTTCCGATAAATATTAGAATTTCCTATATTACGACATGCAAATAATCTAGAAAGTGAAATAAAAATGTCAGGCTATTTAGAGGTGAAGTACCCTTTAAAGTCAAACCTAGGCCTGAATCCTTTCAAGGTAAGCTTAAGTAGTTTCGCAAACAGGATACTTGGATTATTGAATGGTATTAATAATTTTGTTTGTTAGTCGTGGAGGAGACAATGGTGTATACTGCGGCCAAGTGCAACTTGTGGTGGTGGATCCCTAGCTGTGTACTGCAGCGAAGCGGGTGCTCCAGCGGGGACAGTAGAGCTTCCCTCTGGTTGTGTTGTGAAACGAGCAAAGTCTCGCACGAGACCGCATGCGTTCGCCGTGTTTTCTGTTGAAGAGCCCTACAAACCTCGCGTGTTGCTCGCAGCATCTTCTCATAACGATGCTCAGCTTTGGATGGATAAAATTCGAAATTTATTGAGTAGTGATAAACTATTAGGTAAGTCCTTTTCGCAATACTACCTTCAACTTTAGATTGTCGTGAGACATACCTTCTATTATTTTTATTACTTGAGTATGTAAAGCTTTTTTACATGTAATAATGTATTATTATTATGTAGATACACTTATTTATTTGCCATCAGATTATTTTAGAATACAAATGTACAAGAATATGCGGACCCCTTTTAACCTGATACCCTTTTTACTGGAAAAAAGGCATTCTATCTTAGTCCTGACGGGTGACAACGCATCTGCATTTTGATTCACAAACGAGGATAAATGTAGATGTCTATGGGCCACAGCAACGACTTACCATCAGGTGGACTGTGTGCTCGTTTGTCACCCTATCCTATAAAAAAAAAACATATCATCCGAAGTGGATGATCCACTTATGTTGTTTCTTAAATCAATTCATGCTCAGCAGTGGATTTAAATGTTTCACGGTTTAGTTTTCTCACTAACAATTGTTTTAAATCTTTTAATGCTTTTTTTGTAATATTTCATTTTCCCACTTATTACTAATTAATCTCTTGTAATATTTGGTTATCAAAATAAGAATTTAAAAATGAACATGTAATTTTATAACTTTTTTTTTAAATTTATGTAAACACTACATACTGAATGAAACTACTTTAATGGATTGTATCACATTTAATTTGACTTATTTTTAATTCCTGAATTTTTGAGTGCAGCACCCAAGGTTAACCTGCGATACCTTCAGTACTAAACCAAATTAATAAAAGCTTAATGTTTCTGGGGTTGAATATGATGTTGAGACATCGAACACCACCAGTCTCCCCCAGTCCCTGTGACTGTGGGTGCTGCAAAGCCTTCAAAACATCTGGAGTTTAGAATAAGTCCAAATAAATGCATTAAAATCTATTAAAGTATTTTTATTCAATATCATTTTTGCCCTAAATTAATGTTATTGTCAAGCTATATTTCCAATCCTGTTATTGGGGGTGGATTGGCGGACATAAAAGTTAAAGTTACAGCCTAAATATGTCCCACTGTGGGGCATAGCCTCCTTTCATTTCTGAGAGGGTTTTAGGATAAGGAAATGTCCTCTGTGCTGCCGCAGTGTGTTTGAATTTCTCAAACATGCTGGTTTGCTTACTCTGTTTTCCTTCACTGCTGAGCATGTGGTAAATCAGCACTTAAAATTGCAATTAACAATTTCATTGGTGGCGAAGGTGAACAACCCTGGGTGCTCGCATACTGTGAAACTTACAGCAAGTGCCTTAGCTCCTGAGCTACCATGGCTCATGGATTGATGGATATGTGGCTTAATAATTGCATACTGTGAACTTGTGAAGACACAATCTCTTGATTTCCAGATCTTCCCTTTGCTTACTTTTCTTATTGCCTAAATATAAAGAATACTACCATGCATGTTCGACAAGAGCAGAAAATGGTGGATATGAAATTAAAACTGCTATTTCTCATAAAGTGATATTTAATATTGACTATTATTTTTATGATCTAATCTATCTTCAGTTGATTTCAATGGGCACTGGTTCAATTTCAATCAGGAGTAAATCATTCTGTAGATAAAGAATTTGTATTTATCTACCTACAATGTTTTTAGACACCTAAACTGAAACAGGTTCTTGCCCCATATTATTTTCTGACTTAGACTTATCTGATGTTTAATAAGTAAAATTTGTTCACAAAAACAGAATAGATCAATTTATTTTATTTTTTTTATGTCTTTTCCTTCTAGCTGAATTCAATAAGAAATTTAAAAATGTTTTCATTGTTTGCTGACTTGACCCAAATAAAGAGTAAAATTTCAGTGTTCTCATAAAAATATCAATCAAGTATATATGTTATAGTCAAAACTCATAACCTGTCAAAACCACTTTTGACTGCAAATAATCGGGAAAAAGTAGTTTTGACTAAGGATATTGGTCAATACCACTTTTAACTGATTTTTACAGCCAAAAATAATTTTGACTAAGGACGTTGGTCAAAACCATTTTAAGTGTATAAATATTGGTTTATAGTGATTTTGACCAAATTACATAGGTTAAACGCAGTTTTGACCAAGAATATTAGTCAAAACTACTTTTGAGTTATACCTTTTGAATTTCTGAAATTAAAAAGTTCAATACCTCAAATATACTATTTTTTATATCATTATAATGTTTGCGGCTTTAGGGTGGCCCAAGCGCCACCCCAGCCACACCTTCACCTACTGTCACTTATACTGCGAGTTTTCACCGATAGTCTGAACTTTAAATGAGGCAAAATTACTTTTGACTAAGAATGTTGGTTGGTCAGAACCACTTTTGACTACAAAAATCAGTCAAAACTGTTTTTGACCAAGGGCATCGGTCAAAACCATTTTGGCCTGATTTTTGCAGTCAAAAGTGGTGTTAACCGATTATGAGTTTTGACTGTGACATATATATTTTTTAATATTTCATCAATAATAATATAACTTAAAGGTATAAACATATTTATGGTGTAAAAACAAGTTTAGCATGGGTGCAATACAGATTTAGGATTGAATATGATCTGATGGCCTCAACTTACCAAGTACATTGTATACTTATTACGCTAACTAGCACTTATGATTTAGATATTGGTAATGTATACTTGCGTAAAATAGTAACTTAATGCTGCTGTGTTTTGTATGGTGAGTGTATAGAACCGGAGAGCCTTTTTACTGGAAATGAGTCATTCCATCTTAATCCTCACGGCTAACAACACATCTACATTTCGATTCTCAAATGAGGGTAGTTGTAGATGTCTATAGGCCACAACAACCACTTACCATCAGGTGGACTGTGTGCTCGTTTGTCACCCTTATTCTACAAAAACAAGTAAAATAAAGAACTCCTTATTTGTACTTAACACAGTAATTAAGCATGGTTATCCAAGTTGCATTTCTACATTTGTCAATGCTAATAGAAAACTATTATATCATACATACTAGCGATCCGCCCCAGCTTTACATGGTAGATTTCTGAATCTTCACATAAAGGGCCACCTACCAGGTTCAATTGTGAGTCTAAACCACTCAAATTTATAGAATTCTTCATCGAAATCGATCTAGCCATTTGAGAGTTCAGTTACAAACATGCATAAGGAAGAATTATATCTCTATATAGTATAAAACAAAGTCGCTTCCCGCCGTCTTTACGCTTAGATCTTTTAAACTATGCAACGGATTTTGATGCGGTTTTGATCAATAACAGAATGATTCAAGAGGAAGTTTTATATGTATAATACATGCATAGTATATATTATATAATGCTTCTGTCCGTTTGTATATGACTGAACTCCTAAATGGCTGGACCAATTTTGATGAAATTTTGTGTGTGTGATTAAGTTGATTAGAGAATGGTTTAGATTCACAATTAGAGCCGGGGGGGTGGGGCGGTGTTGTCGATATCCAGAAATCAACCGTGCGACGCCGTGGTGAATCGCTAGTATATACAAAGAACAAAGATAGGCATTCATTATTGTAGAAAGTCAACTTGGCTCACCCAGCTGTACTAACATATAGAATGATTATGAAATACAAAGCAATTGTTTAGCAATAAATATACAATTGATATAATTTTGAGGGTAAAAACAAAAATGTTTTATACAAAATGTAAATATTCTGTATGTCATGAGTTCATGATAATGGAAAGATGATATTAGTTTTATTTAAGTTGGAAAATATTTCTTGTTGTAGATATTATCCTCATCCTCCTCCTCCTTACCAGTTTTTAAAATTCACCACTGGAAGATAAATCCATGGCTTTCCAAAAATGCCCCTAATAATGCATTTTTAAAGATCAAATTCAATTAAAAGTTAAAACTGACTTGAAAGAATTTACTTATTTTATTTTATAAGTATTAACATGATTATAAAATAAAATACTAATTAAAAAATTACAATTTTCAACACATTTGTATGCTGCAATTATGAACTTCATCTGACTGCATGTAGATATGTCGTCAATATCCTTTGAGATGATATTAACATAGTGTATGGCATGTGACAATGGTGCATTCTGAATTTTTATGTTATCACTGCATTGTTATATGACCACTGCATCCTGTGGACAAAAATGGAATGCCTATAAAAAAGCTACGTCTAGGCATAGGCTCGTTACAGATGGTTTATAGAGCTGGAGTGAGCCCGCTGCACTTCTCAAATGCGTGTTAGTGGACTCCACACAACAAATATTTTATGGCATACAGATAAATTTCCAGGCCTGGGTGTTAGTTCACTTATGTATAAATGCTGCCACAGTATAGAATAACATAGTAAAAAAATCAAATATCCCAAAACTTCGTGATTTTATTTTCTATCCTACATAAAACTAAGGCGAGTAAAATATCGTTTACAAATAATAATTTAATAAATAAACCATAGTTCATAAAATAAAATGACTGATAATCTATCTATCCATCCGAATACAATCTGGGCGTCTTCAAGGCAAGAGTGAATAGGCTTTTGTTACGCTAAGACAGTGCGATTTACCATCTAGGGCTGCATCATCACTTACCACCAGGTGGGATTCTGGTCAAGAACTAGCTTATAATAAGTAAAAAAAAATATGGGTTCTCTATGAAACTAACTGCAATACTGCAGTTGAAAGTTTTATTATACCTTACCCAAATAGACTTCTGAGCGCCTAAAAGAGCTATTATTATTGTTATTTTATATGTTGTTCATTTTTGGGTACGATTCTCAACCGACTTCAAAAAGGAGACCACCCAATTCGACTGTGTTTCTTTTATGTGTGTTACCTCATAACATTTTTCGATTATTCTTTTTTATTTGAAAGCTGGTGCTTCTCGTGTGGTTCCGTATACATATGACCAAGGTCTGACCAATAGTTTTTGAGTTATCCGTAACAATTGATATTAAAGTCGGCTGTACAAATTTTTTAATTTTACCACTTTTATGTAAACAACTAATACTATATTTTTACCTATTTTACCCTTTCCCTTTTCCCCCTTTTTTATAAATTACGTTGGAAGCAAGGCAAACTGTTCATGTATAGTATCATTAATTATGGCTTTCATTCCTCATTATTTTATATATAAGTTTCTACATGGTAGAGCCACGCTGCAGCCCTATAATAGTAGTATAGTATTCCATCTCAGTTCTCAGTGGTGACAAAATATCAGCATTTTGATTCTTAATCTATACAAATAAATAAAATTGAAGTGTCTTTTTGTAATATCAAAATAACAACTTTTTACTAAATGCATATGAAATATATACGGTACCTACTTATAACAATAACACAATGTTTAAATTTTTTGTCTGTCTGTTTGTTCCGGCTAATCTCCGAAACAGCTGGACCGATTTAGACGGGACTTTCACTGGCACATAACTGATGTTATGAGGAGTAACTTAGGCTACTTATATTTTAGAAAAGTAATTAGGGTTCCGCGCAACAAAATTAAAACCCTAAATTTCACACGGGCGAAGTCGCGGGGAACAGCTAGTTGAGGATAAACGTAGATGTCTATGGGCCACAGCATCCATTTACCATCAGGTGGACTGTATGCTTGTTTGTCACCCTCATTCTATAAAAAAAAGTATCCCTTTGTAATTACAATGTAGAAAAATCCAGGCAGGACTTTATTTTTTTTTAATTAATTAATCAATTATTCTATAAAAAATGATTCCTTTGTAATTACAACATAGAAAAATACAGACAGGACTTAAATAGCTTCTTCAGTGAAAAACAATGGTCCTTAAAACCCCATAATACACGGCCATGGCCCAAATTTGCGTCATTCGTTGACGTCACAGCATTCGATGCAAATGTGCGCGGGGCTGCATTTGAAATTACAATCTCGCGAATGTGTAACGCACGAACTGGCCACTTACATTTATGTGCCATTGTTTTGGACTCGATTCGTACTTGTTGTTTTAACAAACTTCCTTATGAACCGAGATGGCGGATTTTAATGCTTTTGTGTTAGTTGTTCGTTTAACGTGCTTCGTTGGTCTAAATGGTCATAAACGCGGTTGCTGATCATAAGGTCCTGGGTTCGAATCCCGGGTCGGTCCAAAATTTGAGGTTTTTCTGTAACAGCCCACAGTTGAAGTTGACGGTTTTTCATACCACGTGTCTCGCAAAGCACGTAAAGCCGTGCACCTGATCCGTTTACCGTCCCATCGGACTATGAGGGTGAGGGAATAGAGAGTGCACTTGTGTTTGCGTATACACTCTGGTACTATAACCCTCTCTTGCACACATAGCTAGTCTCCGTCGAGACTGGCCGCCGTGACCAAAACTCGGTCTAGAAGACATTCTTCTTATTATTATTGTTGTAGCCAAATTTCTGAGAATACATAATTTAAAAGTGCGTGTATTACAGTGAAAGCTTTAATATGTATAAACGACCAATCGTGAATACGATCATATTCATCATCATCATCATTATCATTACAGTTTTTCCGAAGTCCAAACATTAAACATAGGCTTCCACAAGGGTATGCCACAAAACATGGCCACCTGCACCAATCGACTTTTCACACTTTTGACATTTCTTACATCTCTTCCTAGGTCGTCATTACATATAATGAGACGCCGTCATACACTACGCTAACCAACAAGTGCGTGCAACTTGAGAACCTTTCTTCGCAGTTGACAGTTTTTCTAGCTATATAATCAATTATTAAAAGATATTAAAAATAAAGCAATATTTAAATGTCTTATGGCCAAATATTATAACGCTACTCAATTTTAAATCTCGTGGTACCACAGTCACTGACGTGATAGAGACGGCACGAGACTTAACGGCGTCTTATAGTTGAGTAGCATTTGTGTATTTGGGCATTAGTGTCATACAACAATAATAACAATAAAAAAACAAATCTTGTTTAATTAACGAGGTAGGGCCATGCTGCAGCTGTATTACTGGTATAGTTGTAGCACGAATGGGTCGGCTCGACCGGGGAGGACCACGCTCTCACATAACCAGCGTAAAATAGCAGCTTAATGTTGCTGTGTTTTGTATGATAAGTGTAGAGAACCGGAGACCCATTTTACTGGAAAAGAGGCATTCTATCTTAGTCCTCATGGCTGACAACGCATCTGCATTTTAATTCGCAAACGAAGATAGATGTAGATGTCTATGGGTCACAGCAACCACTTACCATCAAGTGGACTGTGTTCGTTTGTCACGCTTATTCTAAAAAAAAATATTTGAAAATACATAAATCTAAAAATTATTTTCAAACCCATGAGACGATTTCAAAGCTTTATTATATTCTGTTTTTCCTTATTGACTCATAAACTTTGTTTACATAAAATATTAAGTAATCTATTTCTGCAGTTTCACCTCGGGAATGTCTTGCTTTGTTAAAATACTAGTTAATATATCGCATAACTTTAACAAACGTCCCATTGTTTCGTTAAGCTTTTGTTCAACATTCATACAGGTCCACATTCATCTCATTCGCTTATGTCATAATATTTATAGGGCAGTTTTGCTCTGATATATAAAGGAAATATCTATGAAATACTTATAGTTTCAACTGTTCAATTTAATTAAACTATCTTTTAAAACATTTTTTTTTAATTTGTACATACACAGCTTTACATCTGTAATCCCTGAGGCAGTAGGCAGAGTCCAAAGAGCAGTAAACTACTTGGACCAGGTTTGACCCAAAATACGGGTTTACATGAAAAATCTATATCTATACAAATAAATAAAATTGAAGTGTCTGTTTGTAATATCAAAATACCTGCTTTTAACTAAATACATATGAAAGTGTTTACGGTACTTATTACAAAAACACAATTTTTCAAATTTTTGTTTGTCTGTCTGTTTGTTCCGGCTAATCTCCGAAATGGCTGGACCTATTTTGACGGAACTTTCACTGGCAGTTAGCTGATGTTATAAGGAGTAACTTAGGCTACCTTTATTTTAGAAAAAGCATTAGGGTTCCGCGCAAAAAAATGAAAACCCTAAATTAAACGTGGGCGAAGTCGCGGGGAACAGCTAATTATAATAATATAATGCATCAAATACTCTCAATATTACTTTGAAAGTTCTATCCACAGTATAATGTGTTAAATGTGAATACTGCAAAGCTGCTCTTCCTTCATGCGCATACTTTCATCATCATTTCAGGCGACAGCTTACTCAAAGATTCGTACTCGGTGACGGTGATGAACACGGATCTGTCGCGGAAGTGCGGGCTGGGCGGTGCGGACTGTGCGGTGTCGCTGGCGGGCGCAGGGCTCCTGGTGGCGAAGCCCCGGGCTCTCGCGGCGCTGCTGCCCTGGAAGCATCTCACAGATGCTCGGCTTTCGGACGCCGGCTGCGATAAGAACACTTGTATTCTTTCGCTCGATAGGTTGGTTGCAGCTAGCTAGGTTTTTTTTTGTAAAACCGAAATTACTAATGAACTTACCGTCCACCTGACTTTTCACGTAAAATAGCTGCCCATTGCTGCTATGTTTTGTGTGGTGAGTATAGGGAACTGGAGACTCTTTTTACTGGGAACGACATATTAAATCTTAGTCCTCATGGTTGATCCAATGCATCTGCATTTTAATTCTTAATCGAGGATAAATGTACATGCCTATGGGCCACACCATCCACTTACCATCAGGTGGACTGTGTGCTCGCTTTTCGCCCTTGTTCTATACAAAATCTGATGGTAAGTGGCTACTGCAGTCCATGGACACCTGCAGCCTACGTTTTCTATACAAATAAATAAAGTTGAAGTGTCTGTTTGTAATGTCAAAATAACAGCTTTTTACTAAATGTATATGAAAGGATATACGGTACTTATAACAAAAACACACTTTTTAAAATTTTTGTCTGTCTGTTTGTTCCGGCTGATCTCCAAAACGGCTGAACCGATTTCGACGGGACTCACTGACAGATAGTTGATGTTATAAGGAGTAACTTAGGCCACTTATATTTTAGAAAAATAATTAGGGTTCCGCGCAACATAATTAAAACCCCAAACTACACGCGGACGTAAATCGCGGGGAATAGCTAGTTTTTTAATAAAAAAAAGTACAGATACATTGTCACCTTTGAGGACTAAGATGGAATGCCTGTGTGTAATTATACTGGGTCTATATACCCTTTAGACCGAAATGCTTGGTGGCAGAATTAGGTAAGAGGAAGAGAGGAAACACAAGGAATGTACACTAATACACAGTAAATTGTACACACACGAAAATATCTAGTATTGTAGCCATTATAACAATGGCCTCTTTGACGCAGTGTTGATTATAGCGTCACTTCAGTAATACAACAGGAATTTTGCAGGATATATAATATTAGTCTTGGTGAATAAGAAACTAGGGAATGTATTTCGACCTTGTCTTATTAAAGGTGATGCTTGTGCATTCGAATCGGTGGTGGGCTTCGATAATCAGAGCCCGCAAATTTCACGCAAAATACGCCCTTAGATGTGGAGTTGCGGAAAATAGCCCGTTGTAAACTAACTAATCAACTAAACCAGAGCCCGTCCGGTTTCAAATAGAGTCAAAAAAATATACCGAGATCACAGCTAATATTCATTTAGATAAATTAAGACGCAGCAATAAAATTTTGGGTTACGAGCTAGTTATAAGTCGCTTTGTGTACAAGTGCTTCACATCATCACCATTATTTTCAATCTCATCATCATTTACATTATGCTTGACAGTTTTTCTCTTCTTTTATTTTACACTTCCTCTGTCACCTTTCTGACACTCTAAAACAACTGGTAAAATTAAAAATTTTGTACAACCGACTTCAATACAAATAAAATAACAGCATAAATTTAGTCGAAGTTAATTAAGTAGATACGCGTTATGTTATTAAGGATAACTCAAAAACTATTGGTCAGATCTTGATCAAATGTATATGGGACCACATGAGAAGCATTAGCTTTCTCGTTCAAATCACTCGGGAATCATAAAAATCGGTTCGCCTAGAAAAAAGTTCTGAGGCACATTAAAAAAAACACAGTCTAATTGAGAACCCCCTCCGTTTTTTGAAGTCGGTTGTTAATTACCGCTGTCTTAGTAACTTTGTATTGAATAATCTCCTTTTAGTCCAAATTAATATAAGAGATTAAATCGGTTCACTTATTCAGTCTTAATAATTATGTTTTCATATTCTGACACAGTTTGTAAACATGCTAGATTTTATTTGTAGTAGAGCGTAGAGAAGTCCGAGGAGTACAATTTGCCACTATGTCTGGCGTATGTGGACTATGAGAAAGCCTTTGATTCCGTCGAAATTTGGGCGGTGCTGCAGTCCCTTCAGCGATGCCAAGTTGACTGTCGGTATATCGAAGTGTTGAAGTGCTTGTACAGTAGGGCTACGATGGCTATCCGAGTACAGAACCAGAGTACGAAACCTATCCAATTGCAGAGAGGTGTAAGACAGGGTGACGTCATATCCCCGAAACTCTTCACCGCTGCATTGGAAGACGTTTTCAAGCTTCTGGACTGGAAAGGATACGGTATCAACATCAATGGCGAGTACATCACTCACCTTCGATTTGCCGACGATATAGTCCTTATGGCAGAATCGCTGGAGGACCTAAGCACTATGGTCAATGACCTCAATAGTGTTTCCCAACGGATAGGTCTTAAGATGAACATGGACAAAACAAAGATCATGTTTAATGTCCATGTCACACCTATGCCGGTAGTTGTTGGGAGCACTAAGCTCGAAGTTGTTGACGAGTATGTTTACCTGGGACAAATAGTCCGACTAGGTAAGTCCAACTTCGACCGAGAGGTCAATCGACGGATTCAACTCGGCTGGGCAGCGTTCGGGAAGCTACGACACATCTTCTCGTCAGACATACCTCAAAACCTTAAAACGAAATTGTACAACCAGTGCGTGTTGCCAGTGATGACTTACGGAACTGAGACGTGGTCCTTCACTGCTGGCCGGATGAGGAAGCTCAAGGTCACTCAGCGAGCTATGGAGAGGGCTATGCTCGGAGTTTCTCTGCGTGATAAACTTAGGAATGAGGATATCCGCAGTAGAACCAGAGTAACCGACATAGCCCAACGGATTAGTAAGCTGAAGTGGCAGTGGGCCGGCCATATAGCTCGAAGAACCGACAACCGATGGGGAAGAAAGGTTCTCGAGTGGCAGCCTCGTACCGGTAGGCGAAGTGTAGGGCGTCCCCCCACGAGATGGAGTGACGACCTGGTAAGACATGCAGGAAGTCGATGGATGCAGGTGGCTCAGGACCGTGCTTTGTGGCATTCTTTGGGGGAGGCCTATGTTCAGCAGTGGACTTGTGAAGGGCTGTAATGATGATGATGATGATGAGAGCGTAGAGTTTATATATTATGATTGTAGCATGAATGAGTCGACTCGACCGAGGAATAACCACACTCTCACAGGATACCCGCGTAAAATAGCATCTTAATGCAGTGTTTCGTATAGTGACTAGAGAACCAGAGCCCCCTTTTACTGCAAACGAGGCATTATTCTTAATCGAGGATATTTGTAGATGTTTACGGTCAACAGCATCCACTCACCATCAGGTGGACTGTGTGCTCGTTTGTCATACTTATTCTATATCAAACAATTATCATGTACATAATTGCATTGCACAAGATATCCTTCAAATTGGGCTTTAAATCCTGAAATACTGATGCTAAGTATCCTGAGAATGTACCACGAAAAATGAAGCAACCATTGTACTAGCTAATGCAGTTATTTATTTTCCTCAGCAAAAATTAACTAAATACCTAATTAATACCTAACTAATCACGTTGTTTTTACGGGTTTTCCGTGAGAGAACAATTAGTGTAATCACAATTCTGGCTACAAATATGACGTAAATAGACTTGTAAATATTTTATTATATTTCCGTTTATATTAACAATTAATAAAGCGTTAATAGGGCATAGTTTGATAATGTGCATCATTTATTTAATCTTGTTCTTAATTATTAACGATCTTAATGGGTGAAAATTAATAAATTCATGTTTATTTAATAGACTTTCATTAAAGCGGGACAGTGGTGTGGGAACAATGTTTGATAAAACAATTTAATAGAACTGCATACGTACAGATATTAAGGTACTAGTGGATACTCGGCGTGTGCTATTACGCTAAATAAAGAAATACATTTTGTTTATTTGTTGGAAAAAAGGAAATTTTGTTTATTTGTTAACTTTTTATATAGTGCCTAATGCATTGTTTTAGTGGTCCAAAACCAACTTCGCATTATTGCCTTTCTAATGAAACCAGTTTAGGGCACATCGGTTGGATAGTTTCAAAATCTATAACGGACATAGGTAAAAACATTTTTATATTTTGTATAGATAGATTACCTCATTTAATTGAAAGAACCCAATAAACCAAATGACATGGATCTGAGACGTGGTGGTGGTATGAGCAAGCTCAAGGTCGCTCAGGGAACTAGAGTGGGGGCTACGCTCTAGTTTCTCTGCGTGATGGACTTCATAATAAGGATATCCGCAGTAGAACCAGAGTAACCCGTCATAGCTCAACGGATCTGTAAGCTGAAGTGGCAATTGCCGGGCCATATTGCTCGAAGAACTGACAACCGATGGGGAAAAAAGTTTCTCGAGTGGCAGCCTCGTACCGGTAAGCGAAGTTCAAAGTGGAGTTGGCGGGTATTTCAGGACTGTACTTTGTGGCATTTAAATTCAACGATACACTTTATTCGTGTCGTCTTTATATCAATTTAATTCCGTGTTATTTTTCCAGCGGGTTCAAACACGGCAGTGGAGTGATGAAAATGTGGACGCCGATGGCGAGCGAGCTGGTGTCGAATGTTCGTGACGCGCTGCAGTTGCACGACAAGCGCGACAATAAGTTCGACAACATGTTCGGCAACACGCTCAGCAACTACCGCGACAACAAGCTCAGCCGTAGCGATGGCGATCTCAGCACACACAAGACTGACGACTCAGGTATCTTTACAACGTCTATGGTAATATGTCCAACTAACACGTCATCATAACCTTGTAGGGGCGGTGTAAGAAAATCCATTCCCTCATATTATCTCATGGGTGTCGTGACAGAGGGAAACAAATCGGAAGATGGGCAGCAGCGTCTCCTAACAACACTGCGGTTGCCAACCCGCCTGCCAAGCTTGGCAACTATGGAAAATATCTACCCTATGGCCTATGTTTAGCAGTGGAATTTTGAAAGGCTGTAACGATAACGATGTGGTGAGAGGCCACTATATTATGTTACCAGTTATGGCCAGGTTGGACAAAGTACCGTATTATACTATGCCGTCGATATTGACGCGCGACTATTAATACTTCTTGAAATAGTTTTTGCTAGGAAGAAAATGCGCGTACATGAAATACTCAATTAAATTATCCGAGTTTAATATAATAACTATTATATTAATCGAAAAAAAGTTAATTGTCGGGAAAAAACATTCATCTCATTCGAGTTCTCGTTTTTTAAGCGATAACTATATAATAGTTTTCGATAATATTAAATGTATGTTATTACGTATTTCAAATTTTTCATCAGCAAGATTTTCATTTAGATCCTTTATTTTCTGATAATAACAAAAATCTTTGCAAATAAAGTAACTTGTTGCCCACCGAATGTCGCACGCTTACTTTGTGCTGGACTAATATAAAGGTGTCCGCCGGCAGATTTTACAGTTTAACTAATAATAAAAACTCAAATTTAAATGCAATCACATTTATTTACTAATTTTCTTATAGTGAAATAGTGCGGTTTTCAAATTTTATAAACAACACCACTTAAATGACGCCCATTTAGGTCTAACCACATTTGAAATCTTAACCTCATGTTGTTGAAGACTCGCTTGTAGAGATCTGGTCTGATGTTGGCGGTTTCGCAATGGATATTTTTTGTAGGGCTCTTATTGTCGATGGCGAATTGCTATATACGCGAGAATTAACGTGTCCGCAGGTAAAAATCACATGGGATTAGGTCCGGCGATCTAGGGAGTCAGTCGATATCACCACCGCGGCTTATTAGTTTTCCTTTATTTTGCGAATGTCAAACAGCGAACAAAAACGACGCCTTGCTACGTTCACCCAATTATTATTTGTGAAATACGCCTTAGCTGCAAAAGCGCTATACGTTACCTTCCACTGACTCTTGGTTATTAAATAACCCGCGACACAACTACTGTACACGTAAAGTGTAATATCTGCCGGCGAACATCCTGTACATTTACCGGAGAAGGGAGGAAATTCTCGCCTTAAATAGCAGAAAGATGTCACGGCTTTCGAAATGGCGGTATATTAATTTTATTTACGCCAGACATAATTAAAATACTGTTACGAGCTTGGGGTTCGAGACAATTAAAAACTGCCGATTGAATTACCAAAATTGACACTAATTACACAACAATAATTACAATCTAAAATCACACTAATAATAAAACACAGTTCGCCGTTATTTCGCTTCGAAGTATTCTCTTGTATCGCCAATTCAATACTGCCCCGGTCGTGGTCTATACCGGCCTTATATAGGGCCTCAGATAGTTTCCAGAACCTTCTACTGTAGCGACATCTAGAATGTTCGAGTACATATCGGTCCCGAAATTTCTGGAAGGATCTCGACTCTCCTAGTTCTGCTACTCGACACTATAGGGCGTTAGTGTAACTAGTGTTGCCATGTACAAGACATTAATAGTGGCACGCAACAATACTCTTATTATTACAGAGATTTTATTGTGCACGCTGATTTTGGCTAATTATTTTCACATTCATAACATAATATAGTTTTTTTTTTATATAGAATAAGGGTGACAAACGAGCACACAGTCCACCTGATGGTACGTGGATGCCGTGGCCCAAAGACATCTACATTTATCCTTGATTACGAATCAAAATGCAGATGCGTTGTCACCCGTGAGGACTAAGATGGAATGACTCATTTCCAGTAAAAAGGGTCCCCGGTTCTATACACTCACCATACGAAACACAGCAACATTAAGCTACTATTTTACACTAGTATTATGTGAAAGCTTGGTCCTACCCCGGTTGAGCCGACCCATACATGCTACAACTATAATATAGCTACCTGTGATGGCAAAGTAACACTTGATTTAAGAATTATTTTTTTTCTTTGTTCTTATGGTAGAAATGATTTTCAGATGAAGTTCGTCGCAGCAGCTGGTACAGCGGCCCGTCGGAAGTATCACTGGACGACACTGATCTCATCATGTCCAAGGTTTGTTGTTACAAACTCTGTAATCTATACTCTATACAGTTTAGTTTTAGTAAAGTTGAAGTGTATGTTTGTAATATCGAAATAACTGTCTAATTTTAAGCTATGGGGGTTCTTTGCATGTTATTTAAGACTTAAATAAACATTTTTAAAAATTTTGTCTGTATGTCTGTCAGGGTTAATGTTCGTAATGGCTGAACTGATTGTAATGAAACCTGACGAACAGATAATGACAGGACTGATCTAGGCTATACTTAAACCGAAAATCTTGGATTTTTTTCTGAGGACGTAAAGTCTATAAAGGAAATGGTTGTTGATGATGAGTATCGTAAAAACTCTAAACAATCAAATCAATGACATCAATAGATACCACCCAGACGAAGATAGAGCGGTTTCTAGTCAAGAGGGTTATACAGCTTCAGGTCTTACAACATTCACGGGACTAGAGGGTGTGCTTTTTACATGGTACAGCCATACCGCAGATATATTATGGTATAGCCCAAATGAGCCAGCACGGCCAGGGAAGGACCACGCTATCATAGAATACCAGCGTAAATAGCTGTTTAATGCTCCTCGTGTTTCTTATGGTGAGTGTAGAGAACTGGAGACCCTTTTACTGGTAACGAGGCATTCCATCTTAGTCCTCACGGGTGACAGCGCATATGCATTTTGATTCTATGGGCCACAGCATCCACATAACATCAGGTGGACTCTGTGCTCGCTTGTCACCCTTATTATAATGTAGCCATGATACGGCAAATAATGTATGCATGTTTTGCAGTGTTTAATAAGTATAGCATAGCAAGTAAAATTGAAGTCTCTGTTTGTAATGTCAAAATAACAGCTTTTTACTAAATGCATATAAAATTATATACGGTACTTATAACAAAAAAAAAATCAATTTTTTAAATTTTTGTCTGTCTGGTTATTTCGGCTAATCTCCGAAACGGCTGGACCGATTTTTACGGGAATTTCACTGGCAGACAGCTGATGTTATAAGGAGTAATGTAGTCTATTTTGATTTTAGTAAAAAAAAAAATTAAAACCCATGAAATCCAATCTTAATAAAAAACACGCGGGCGAAGACGAGGGGATCAGCTAGTAAGATAAAAATGAAATTAGTGCTCAAGCACTTTGTCTTTTTTATGCCCGGACCACACTAACGAGAAATGCCGTTAATTATCAAGTTGATGGCCGTTGAATGTAGGTGTGGCCACCACTTAACGCGATAATTTTACAACGTCATTAACAATGCCGTTTGCCGTTGGGCGATAACTCGAGTGGCGGTACATTGAAGAGATTAACGCACGAATTAACGCGTTGAAGCGACCACACTACGTTTGTCTCATTGTGCACGGTGAGCGCAACGGGATCGCACGTATGGCTATGGAGTGGAATAATGAAAAAGTTATTACGTTTGAGATTCTGCAAACATAGCTATGTTTGTGGGATCCGAGACTCAAAAGTTTTACTAATCGTACATCGCCAAGTGATGCTTCGCGATGAATAATGCAATTATTACCTTTACAACAACTATCGAAGAAATTAAAAAGAAGAAGGAAAGCCTAATAATGGGTTATTATAGAACCCATTTAAATAAATATAATATGATAAAATATATTCAAGGAACATTAACACCAACTTTAATGCCATTCAACGGCATTGAAATTGAAATGACGTTGACCGTTCCAAGTGTGGCCACTCACTTTATCGTGTTAAAATTAAGGCAATAATTGTTTCGTTTATGGGCATTGACGTTTCTCGTTACTGTGGCCCCAGCATTAATGTTAAGTTTATCTAAAATTTTTGTGAATGATTTGTGCCAAAATAACGAGAAATAAATAAAATAAAATAAAACCGTAGCGCTGTGTTTCAGGAAGCTCATCGCATTGGCAGCGGCACGCTCGCTTTGAGGGCCCGGGCACTTCTGCATCTCGCTCCCTACGGAACGTATAACGACAGGTGATTTTCACTTTTATTACTACGTGAATACAATCTAAAATCATCTGGCAGTATATTGTATACGCTACAGATTTCAATAATTATAACGTATACATTATTATGTATTTACTGAGTAGTTTATCCACTATCCCATATCGTCCCGTGGGTAAATTAGAGGCGACATAGGGAAACAAATTAACAAATGAATTGTTAAATTTAACATCTTACTTTGGTTTATCTCAATATAATTATTTCCAGAATGCATACGGAAATGTACTAGATTTAGTATTTTCCAATGTGCCTGTAATAATTGACAAAAGCCTATGTCCATTAGTTAAAGAGGATGTGTGTCATCCAGCGATTGAGATGTGTGTTACAGATATTTCGATACCTGCAATGAAATCATGTAATAACAAAATAAATTTATTTCGTAAAGCAGATTATCATAAGTTAAACACATATTTTTCTGACTGTGATTGTTCATTTTTACATACACAAAACTTGCAAAATGCTACTGACAATTTTTATTCAATATTATATACTTCCATTACTAAATATCTACCCCAAAAAGTTATTTCTCATTCATATATCTAGTATCTACCCTGTGTGGTATAGTAATACCCTTATAAAATTAATAAAAAATATAGTAACCCAGGAGATTATGCCTCTTTTTCCACAATATGATCTAGGATTAAGAAACTCTAAAAATAATGCTATTTCTGTCATATTAAATTATATCAAGAAAAAATCAAATCATCGCGTAAATTATTTTGGAGTTACATAAAATCAAAAAGAAAGAACCCGTCTAATTATCCTCATTTAATGCAATTAAATGGTAGTAATGTCGTTAATGAATTAGACATCTGCAATGCTTTTAATGACTTTTTTAGCAGAAATTTTATTCTACCAGCACAGCAATATAGTGAAATATCTGAAGAGAGAGCGACATGCTGTAATATCATAAGTGGTATACACATCTCAATTGCCGACACAATGAAATTTCTAAAATGTGTTAATTGTTCCAAATGCTTCCTGTTGTGATGGAATTCCCCCTTTTTCTTTATAGAATGTGCAGAGTCGTTATCGAGTCGTTAGCAATATTTAATAGATGTTTTATAGAAGGATACCTTCCAAAAATTTGGAAAATCGCAAATATTATACCAATTCATAAAAAGGGAACAAAAATAGCTATTGAGAATTATAGGCCAATATCAATACTGAATGTATTAAGTAAAGTAATGGAAAGAATAGTACATAAACAAATATACCCGTTAGTTATTCGAAATAGTCCCTCCCAACAACATGGTTTTGTACGTGGTCGCTCAACTAGCACTAATCTTTCCATCTTTAACAATGATGTTCTTAGGGGGATGGATAATGGTCTCCAAATTGATGCTATGTATACGGACTTTGAAAAGGCTTTTGACCGCGTTGACCATATTATCCTTCTTAAAATGCTCCAGGAGTTAGGAATACGTGGTAACCTTCTCCGATGGATGGAATCGTATCTATGTAATCGCTCACATGCAGTCGTAGTGGCTGGGCACCGTTCAAATGTTGTGGATGTTCCATCAGGAGTCCCACAGGGTTCGATATTGGGGCCCTTGTTATATGCGGTATACTTATACGATGTGGGCAATTGTTTTCATTTTGCTAAGTTTCTTATGTACGCTGATGACATGAAAATTTACGATTACATAAAATCTGAATCAGATGCTTATAAGCTACAAAACGACTTATATCGGTTTTGCATTTACTGCCGTGATAACCGTATTGCCGTAAATGCATCTAAATGTTTCCAAATTAGCTTTACTCGAAAAAGGAAAAAAAAATATATACCTCAATACTATTTGAACAACGTACCTTTAGAAAACACTGACAAAACCAAAGACCTCGGAGTAGTTTTTGATTAAAAAATGATGATGGCTGATCATATCTCAGCAATGGTTACAAATGGTTTACCTTTTTCAGACGTAGTATGTATAAAGGTTTTATATTATTCTTACGTCCGTAGTGTCCTGGAATTATTGCAGTGTTGTGTGGAATCCAAATTATATAACATACATATACGAAATAGAACGAATACAGACAAAATTTATTAAGGCCTTGAATTTTCGATCTGAAAATAAAACATTAAAAAATTGTAAAGAATCATGTAACTTTCATAAATTAATACAGTCTTTACTGCAGATGCTATTCCTACATGATATCTGCAGTAACAAAATTGATAGCCCCGAATTAATTTCCTGCAGTTTAGAACTACGAGCACCTACTAAACGAACTAGACATACTTCGTTATTTCATGTTCCTTCAAGTCGCCCAAATTATGCACAGAATTCTGTAATATGTCGCATACTTAAAAGTTATAATAAAGAATTTTCTTCGACTGACATCTTCCACCAAAGCAAATCAATATTTAAGAAAGAAATTATTATATCATTAAGTATGGACCTTGTCTGAGCTTGATACAATATGCAACGGGTCAATTTCTGCCACACCCGCTTATCCAATGGTGGTTGAGGCAAATAAGGCCCCCGAAGATAAAAGCGCACCACAGCGTTCTAAGAGGGTCGGTAAAAAATGAACTTCCTTATTTATTATTATCATTTTATTAATTTTGTAATCCTTATTGCTATAACTTTACTCGTTTTTTCTTGTTTGTTTTCTATCATCTTTATTTGTCATTGTTAATCGTTAATTAGATAGTAAAATGTAATGATTAATAATATCTCTTTGGAATGTTTATAATTTTTTTTCTGTATGTTATTATTAGTATAATCTTTCATTGGAATGTTTATTATTATAAGTTTTGCAAGGTATGTAGTTAATTGGTAAGTTAACGTACTAACGTATTGTCACTTTTTGACATCTTGACTCATCTGACATTGACACCTCTCACTTTTTGTGTCTATGGTGCGTTAACGTTCCATTTCTTCATTTATTGTTAAGTTAATTATAGATTTCTTTCAATACTGCTGGCAGGTAGTTTACTGATGACTTATTTATTTTTGAATTTATTTATTTTATATATACATATACATATTTTATATATATATATATATATACATATATACTTATATACATACATTTAGTAATCAGGCATAATTTAATATGATTTCTTCAGATGATAGTGTTCTGAGTTCCAATTCCTTCGCCTTTGATTCTGCTTCTGATGGATTAAGCAGCATTGATAGCTTTGAAAGCATTGCACCCTTAAATATTATGTTAGATTCAATTTTTACTGAATGTAGCAAAAACTTTAATGCTATTCACATAAATGCTCAAAGTATTCCTGCTCATTACCCCGACATGTTGTCAAGTTTTAATAGCAAAAATATACACGCTATCCTTGTTTCGGAGTCATGGTTAAAACCATGTCTTCCATCAACATCCTACTCACTTCCAGGTTTTCATTTGATTCGTAACGACCGTACCGATCGGGGCGGTGGCGGTGTTGCTATTTATCTACGCTCTCATATACCGTATTCAGTAATTCAGGTTTCAACTGGTTCTCAGACTGGAGGCGAAGCTGAATTTCTCTTTATCGAAGTTCTTCTCGGTCATACTAAATTACTTCTCGGAGTATTTTACAGCCCCTCTCTCACTGTTGACTACTTCACCACGTTAGAAAATATTCTTGAAAATCTTACACCTATCTATTGTCATAGTATAATTATGGGTGATTTTAATACTTGTCTTTTAAAAACCAACGCCAGATCAATTAAACTAAAATCTGTTATCGAAGCAGCAAATTTAAAACTTCTTCCTACTTCTGCCACACACTTTTTCCCGAACTGTGCCCCTTCTCTTCTCGACATAATGTTTGTGTCTTCACTTGACCTTGTTCATAAATTTGGGCAATATGCTGCTGATTCTTTTTCCTATCATGACCTTTTATACTTGTCTTACAAAATCCGTCCCCCTAAAGCTAAGTCAAGGATCCTACTTCAGCGTAACTTTAGTAACTTGGACTTGAAGCAGCTTTCAAATGACGCTCGAAAAATTGATTGGAGTATAGTCGTCAATGCTTCCACTGTTGATGAACAGGTAGCTTTGTTCAACTCTTTGTTAATTCAGCTTTATGACGTTCATGCTCCTGTTCGTCCAGTGCGTGTAAAGCATCCTCCCTCTCCTTGGCTGACTGATAATATAAAAAAAATCATTCACATTAAAAATTGTGCCAAAGCGAAATACAAGTCAGTTCCTAGCGACCTGAATCGAGAGAAGTATAGATTAGTACGGAATCGTTGCAACAATCTGTGTAGAAAAGCACAACGACGCCATATCCATGAATCAGTACAAGATCCTGACCCTGCTAGGGTCTGGAAATTTCTTAAGTCTTTAGGAGTTGGGAAATTACGACAAAATTTCACTCACCTTAACTTTGATCTCAATCAACTTAATTTGCATTTCTCATCTTCGTCTTGCATTAACGATAAAGCAAAACACAATACTTTGAATTCCCTTTCAAAAGCTCCCGCTCCAGACACCTCTGCTTTTAGTTTTAGTCAATTTAACAGTTGTGATGTTATGAAAGCCATAATGTCCATCCATTCAAATTCAATTGGTAGTGACTGCATTAGTCGGAAAATGGTCATCCCTCTCATTGATCTCCTTTCACCTGTAATCACTTCCATCCTGAATAATTCACTGAATTCTTCTATTTTCCCTTCAGCTTGGAAAGATGCATTTGTAGTTCCTCTTCCGAAAAAGTCGAATCCGTCTAGTTTTTCTGATTATAGACCTATCTCTATCTTGCCTTTCCTTTCCAAAGTTCTTGAACGTCTTGTGCACAATCAATTAAGCATCTATCTTTTAAAACATAATCTTTTAAATCCTTTGCAATCCGGTTTCCGTCCTGGCCATAGTACGACTACTGCACTTTTACAAATCACTGATGATATTCGGTATGGTATGGAGAAACAAAAGCTTACCATTCTTACGTTACTTGATTTTAGTAATGCATTTAATACAGTAGATTTTGATATCTTGTTGGGCATCCTGCGCTTTCTCAACTTATC